GTGGTGGATTGGGCGGGCCTTTATACCTCTGCCTAGGCCTCTCCTGGCCTTGCCGCCACTGTTGCCACCACACTGCCAAGTGAGTGGTGGAATTGGGCAAGCCTTATACCTCCGCCTGGGCCTCTCCTGGCCTTGCCACCGCTATTGCCGCTATGCAACCAGGTGGGTGGTGGATTGGGTGGGCCTCCCAGCCTTGCCACCACTGTTGCCACCATGCTGCCAGGTGAGTGGTGGAATTGGGTGGTTCTTATACCTCCGCTCGGACCTCTTCCGGCCTTGCCACTGCTATTGTCACTTATGGCATGGGGATGGTAAGCTTTTTTTATTATTATTTCATAATTTAAGTGTTATGAAATGTTTATTGTGCAATGAGAATGCCTTCTTTCAGCCTCATACCAGAGAATTGATTGACCAGTGTCAATTCACAGACCTACAGAAGGCTAGCAATGCCAAGAAATGGATTCCTCTCTAATGGATTTGTTGCTGGAATGCAACCAATGTGAACTCTTCTTCTAACTTTCTCTGCTCTCATCCCATTTCTTTTAGCTGAACCCTGTGCCAAGAAACAGCATTATAGGACATCTTTAAATATTCTTTAGAATAACACTTGTTCCTCTGCATTAACTGACTTGGAGTCCATGGCCTCGGTCCTTTGTGAGTCGGTAAGCGAGGAAGGATAAAATGGCATGCAGGACTGCACGCAGGAATGTGTGGCCATTGAAAACAATAGGCCCCCAATATTTACAGTTTTTCCAATTTGCATTGTGTGTGTGTCCAGAATGGATCCCCCACAAATTGGAAAGGATGACTGTAGTAGCAAATACCCCTTACTATTTGAATTTAATGTGATTCAGACCAAGTCAAATAAAAACAAATTTTAGTAATGGCATCTTTTTTGGTATGTAATGAGAATACTGAAAGCGCAACATGGTTTCTGCCTTCATTGACTTGTACTCCCTGTTTCTGAACTTCTTGATAATATTCAAAACAGAATTCTTGAGTATTGCTATGACAGGAGCCTGACATAAGCATTACATGAAAGGGCAAAGTGAGTATGAAGGGTCTGCTGAATCATTCACAAACCTTGGGGGAAAAATATTTGGAAATGCTACTTCTGATTTTGAGTTGTTTTCTAACAGAGTTATTTATCCCACCTCTGGTAGCATCCTAAATATATACCCTCTGACATTTTACAGAGAAAAACCAAGACACATATGGCTAAGCAACCAGAGTGTGGTCATGATGACAAAAGTTATTATTGAGGAAGAACAGACAGGCTGGGAGTGTTGCAGCAATTTACTTTTGTCTGAGCCTATAGGGAAGAGTGAGGTCTCATCCCTGCTGAGTTAATTAAGTGCAAACTACTTTTGCACTTTGAACTCAGCTTGCAGCAGCTAAAGTGAACAGATGATGAAGAGGGAAAGTGGAAGGATGAGAGAGAAATGGGGACATTTTAAAAGCAGTTGAAAAACTGGGATGACAGAGGTTTAATCAAGACAATGCCTGCTTAAATCATCATAAATGATGAATTAATCTTCATCATAAATGAATCTTCCTTCATTTTGAGTGCTCATGGAATTTTTTTCAAGGAGAGAGCCTTTTCTGCTCATGTAAATTTCCCTATGTGGCTTAGAAATAAAATCTAGAAACCCTACATGAGCAGAAAAGTCTATTCACATTGATATTTTATCTGAATATGTGGGAAACTGGAATAGCAGATTTACATAATTTCTCTCTCAGTTAATCTCAGTCAATTATTTAATCTCAGTTGAGATAGGCTGTCTCAGTGCTGCCTGCCGAGAACTTAACTTCTGCAAGACTTCTTGCCTCCAGTGTATGAATGAGATGAAAACATTTTTCCCTATTGGGTGTCCATAATTTGCACAAAATATCTCTGGATACATCTTGGCTTCACTTTGGTGAATCAGAGCTCACATGTAGACAGCAAGCAGAGAAAAACTAGTCTATTGATTAAAAAGATAAAAACAGCCTAGCTTATCTTTTGGATTTTGAAAAAATATTGCTGCAAACCAGCAGCTATTGTAGTTTAGCAATGCCATTTCCCATTTCACACAGTTTGAGTAATTGATGCAATTTGTTCAATTTGCACAAAAATCATTCTTGCAAATACAAAACCTATCTAGAGGTACCCTGACATCCTGTGGGCAAGAATGAGACAACTGAAAGTTTCCTTGATGATATACCCACACACAACTTGGCTGGTCTTGACCAGTGCTTTTGCTTGTTGTTTCTAGTTGGGTTGATACAAAATATTTTGGCATAAAATGCCCAATGGTACAGTTTTTGTATTAAACCTTTTTTTGTTCAAAATCAATGTTTTTTTCAGTTTTTTCATAAAAAGTCCCAAAAGATAAAAAAACACCAAAAACATCCCATTTTTTTGCAGCAATATTTAATCTCAATCTGCACAGATAAATCCTGATTTTTTAAAAAAATGTGTGGAGAATGGGTTAACCTAGGATTTACATAAGAAAAATGGGTGACTGGAGGCAGATGATAAGCTGCAAGGGAAGACCTCTGAAAGGTAGAAGCTTCCTCAGGAATAGGCATGTTAAGGCTCTTCCCAGCAGCAAAGATCAGCACAAAAGTTTGATAACTGAGCTTTGTGTGAGGCCCAATAATAAGCCTCAGGGATATGAGGTTGTGGGAAGGAGCGTATGTTAAATCCTACCTACTGTTCTTTATATATTGTGACTGACTTTTTGATCCCTGAACTTGAAATTTGCCTCCTGGAATCTCTGTGCTTGGACTTCAGAAATAAAATGGTTAAACCATGAATTGTTATTTAGTATTGGATCTTTATCACTTGGGTTACCTTAGGGCCCTTGCAGACTGCTAGAAATAGTGCAAATTGAGGCCACTTTAACTGTCCTGGCTCAGTGCTAGGGAATCATGGGAATTGTATTTTTTTTTCTGAGACATTGACCCTTCTCTGTCAGAGAGCTCTGGTGCCACAATAAACTGTAGTTCCCATGATTCCCTAGCACTGAATCAGGGCAGTTAAAGTGGACTCAATTTGCACTATTTCTGGCAGTCTGCAAAGGCCCTTACTCTCTGGGAGGCCCCGGTCTCTGATTCCTCTTCTGGATTTCCTTTACTGACTTATGTGTTTGTGGCACAACAGGGAATTACTGCCATTTGATCTACCCAACCAGGAACAGAACAACTTCAAATAGAGCTGAGGCTGGCATCTTGCATGTTTTTTCTTCGGCCAGTGGGCAAGACCATGGCTGCATCTGCGGTGAAAAATTAATGCATTTTGGTAGCACTTTAAGTCCCATGGCTCAAATCTATGGAATTCTGGGATTTCTAATTTTATTTAGTCTTCTATGTCAGATGGCTCTGGTGCTACAACAGACCACAGATCCCAGGAGTACACAGTATTGAGCCATGGCAGCAGTGTAGATGAAGTTCTTCTTTTTCAAGCAGGCTTTTGATAACTAACCAGCTTCTGTGAAAAGAGATTTAATGGTGTGTGGGTGTCCTATCCTTCCACTTGATGTGTTTGTAAATTATTTTAAATCAGCTGTTTTGACGTGATGACAGGATAATTTCCTCATTGGTTTTTTAAACAGTGCAAACTATTGTGTTTTTAGGTGCATGTTTTGGACCACCTTAGATCCCAGCATTGGTATAATTAAAGAAATAAATGTTAATTAAATCATTTACTCTTCCTACATTTTGTCTGATCTCATGAAGTTTCTTCACCAAGAAAATGGCTTGCAAGCAGTTGAAAACAGAAATACTCCTAGGTTCAGGGGAAAATACATTTGTTACTCTCCAGGTGATGGTTCATTTCATTCTCATTTGTTTTTGCACTCACTGTACTAGAAAAAACTGAAATATTTCCATCAGAAAACAAATGAGGTACACAGAAAATTTTGTCAACAAACTGAAACAAACTGTATTCATAAGCCAAACACCCATAACATCCAATAGGTTTAATACTCCTTTCCAATATTTTACAGAATTTATAAATACAAGTCCTTCTTCCCTTACTCCTGCCAATTCAGGATGTTCTCCATTTCCTAATTCAATCATGGGAAGCTTGCAAGTAAACGGAACAGAAAGCAAGCCCAAAGAGGTGTCAAATGAAGATGAAGTACCTTTCATTTGGTCTCATCTTCCAGTGACAGATTGAGCTTTTCCATATCACCTTTGTTTAAATGGGGAAGGCAGACCTGTGATTCTTAGACTTGAGTGGAGAATTCTGCCTCTGAACAACATGGCATGTAATACACAAAATCCAAAGGATAGGTATGGCTCACTATGAATATTGATCTGGGAAGTGTGAAGCAGATCAATTTGTATCAAAATTCACTAAGACTTAAGGAATCAAGCACCTGCATTAGCAGTAATGATGAGACTGGCCGGTGTTCTGGCTTTCACTAGGTATCAGATTGTGGGTACCCATTTCATTAGAGCTGGCCCTAATAAGGTCCCAGAGGTACTGATAAATTACATTTCCTAGAGTTCTTGGCACTTTCAATGTTTTTGATGCCTAAGAAAACTACAGCAGCCATGCCTCTTCTTTTTGCCATCACCACACATGGGGAGGGAAAAAACAAGATGGAAATGGAGTGTGTGAGGAGTTCCCAATGTAAGAAGTAAGAAGTTGCCTTACCACAAGTAAGGTCATTGGTCCATCTAGCTCAATATTACCTGGGCAGATTGACATTGAATCTCCAGAGTTTCAAACAAGTGACTTTTCCAGCCCTAGTTGAGAGATGCCAGTGATTGATCCTGGGGCCATTTTCAGCAGGATACAAATTTCCTCATTATTTATTTATTTATTTATGGTCCTATGTCAATTTAACCTACGAATCTGTGCATGTTGTCGTGTGCCTCCAATTTATGGTGACTCTGAAGTGGGCCCATCATGGGTTTATTTTGGCAAGATTTGTTTAGAGGAGGTTTGACATTGCCTTCCCTGGAGGCTAAGAGCATGTGACTTGCCCAAGGTCATCCAGTGGGTTTCATGGCTAAGTGGGGAATCAAACCCTGGTCTCCAGAGTCATAGTCCAATACTCTAAACACTATGCCATTCTGGCTCTTGTGCATACACTTCATCTAACTGTACTGAATCAAAGCCTTCAGGCCTTATGATGTGATTCACTGGGAGAACCACAAGGGGCTTGGAAGGGAAAATCTCCCGTTTTTGCTGTGTTCTTGATGCTGTTATTGTGGTGGGGTCACATCACAGAACAAAGAGAGTGGACCTCAATTGAAAAAGAACTAATTCATATCAAGCCCAAAGTAGCTCATTTGGGGTGAGCCCATTCTGAAATCTGAAAGGCTTGCTCATTGCTAGCAATATGGTAATATTAACACTAGCCTTCCTTACTGGACAGCTGTAAAGACTACTATGTTATGGTGTATAAATAGCAGTTAAATGTACAATATAAAGGCTAAAACTATTATTATAAAGAACCTTCTTCAGACCCTCTGTTCCTGCATTTTAAAGTATGTTTGTTCCAAGTGCTATCGTTCTGCATCAGGTTTTCCTTTTAGTATTCCAAGAAACCAGACTGTGTGCAAAGATAAATTAATTTTAAGTAGCTCAATAAACAAGTAATTTCAAATTCAGTGGCTTGTACTTTCCATTTTGTATGGGCTTCATCATTTAAGACTATTCCCAGGTTGTATTTTCCCTTGATATTTACTGTATTTAGCTAAAAGTTATATAAGCTTTGCAGTAAACCATGTAATTAATAAAATTGCAAGTCTAGATGTCATCAAAAGGCCATCCAGCCAAGATGCACTTAGGCATAACCAAGCAACTCTTCAAAAATAGCTCATGGTCTCCCGATTATAATATGCCAGGACTGTAAAATAAGAAAAGAACAAGTGTATTTGATTGATGGTTTACCAACCTGTGTTGTAAGGTCTTGTTCAAAAAAGACAACATGAATATGATCTCCATGGGTCCCCTTCTGGTGTTCTCCACAATTTGAACAACAGATATAGGCAGGAATTGGATAGGTGAGCTATGTGGATGGAGCTCCGTGTGGCCCAAGTATTGTTGGTCCAAAACACACTTGTAGAAATAATCCAGTTTGAGGCTACTTTAACTGCCCTTGCTCAGTGCTAAGGAATCCTGGGAATTGTACTTTATTGTGGCACCAGACCTCTCTGACAGAGGCAGCTAAGTATCTTACAAAACTACAGTTCCCAGAATGCCCTAGCATTGAGCCAGGACAGTTAAAGCAGTCTTAAACTGGACTATTTCTGCAGTGTATTTTGGGCCATACTCCTGTGAATGACTTCTATGTAGATTGGACCTTAATTGGATGGTGCATACCACTCATATGCTTCACAACATAGATGCAGCCAAGTGATACCATTATTGCAGACAATAAAAAATCTTTTAAGAATGAGAGTAATGTTTCTTGATTATATGAGGTCTCAGACAATCAGGGGTCACACTTTAAATATAATAGCATCATTATACCATACAACTGGTCAGATTGGACTGCATAATGACAGCAAAAGAGCAAGAACAGTGTAAATGAGTGAATTTTATTGTTAATATAGTTTAAAAGTCATCAGTGTTCTTTAGAATCAAAGAGCAGCTCCTGTTCAGCCTGAGTCTTAACTGTCTAGTAAGGACCCATACTTGGGGCACTTCATGAGATGGGATGACATAGGGATGAAGCAGATGGACAGCTTGGAGTGGCCAAAGCCCCCACCCCAAATGATCAAGCCCCAATTGGCCAGGGACCACAGAGACTGGACAGCCCATTCTTAAAGTGGGCCACTGTCCAATCCCAAGAGGGCTGCTGGCAAGGAGTGGCTTTTCTCCACTCCCTTTGTCGATAGCCTCAGAGTGGCTTCCAGCCATATCAGATGCATGCGTCATCTGCATACCATGCCTCTGAAACATCTGGAAACCAAACTTTTTGGCCTATCTGTTTTGCGACATACTGGAAAAGGCAATAATGATTTGTAAAGGGAAAGGCAATGGGAAAAAAGGAAGACTATGAGCCTTTTCAGACTGCCAGAAACAGTGCAAATTGAGTCCACTTTAACTGTCCTGGCTCAGTGCTAGGGAATCATGGGAATAGTAGTTTATTGTGGCATCAGAACTCTCTGACAGAGAAGGCTCAATGTCTTAGGAAAAAAATACAATTCCCATGATTCCCTAGCACTGAGCCAGGACAGTTAAAGTGGACTCAATTTGCACTATTTCTAGCAGTCTGCAAAGGCCCTACATTACCAGATGGACTGATTCACCCAAGGAAGTCAGAAGCTTGAGTTAGCAAGACCTAAGCAGGGCTGTTGATGACTGAGCGTCATGGAGGTCTCTTATTCATAGGGTTGCCATAAACTGAGGCTGACTACAGCAATCAACAGAGTTAAGGACACAGTTAATCTGAAGTGACAAATTATCAGCAGCTATGATAACTGCTAGCATTGTGTAGTGGTTTAAGCATTGGACTATGACTCTGGGGGCCAAGGTTTGGATGCCGTCTCAGTGATGTAAACCCATTGGGTGACCTTGGAAAAGTCACACTCCCTCATCCTCACATGATGGCAATGGCAACCCCCCTCTGAAGAAACTTGCCAAGAAAACTGTGATAGTCTTAGGGTCACCATAAGTTGAAAATGACTTGAGGACACAGAACAACCAACACA